CATTCCATTCATTATAGAATATCAGCAAAACAGTATATCACTACATAGTATAAAACAAAGTAGCTATCCGCCGTCTGTCTGTCCCTATGTATGCTTAGATCTTAAAAACTATGCAACGGATTTTGATGCGGTTTTTTTTAATAGATAGAGTGATTCTTCAGAAAGGTTTATATGTATAATACATGCATATTACACTCTTGCGAGCAGGAGCCGGAGCAGGTCGCTAGTTATATTATATAACGTTGTGTTATTTCATTATTGACATTAGCAATAGCTTTTGTCAGCGGCTTTGCCCGCGTTACCTAGGTGAAAAGTAGCCTACGTGTTATTCTGGAATATAATCTAGGTACATCTGTGATAAGATTTATTTAAAGAAAAAGAATAGAAAGAAATTATTTTTATTTCTGCTCAGAACACACATAAACTTAACAACTAATAAAAATAAAATATACCTAATACAAAGCGAAGGTAAACAGAAAATAATATAAAACTTAAAATACCACGGCTCAAATAAAATAAAGTCTCCATGGTCCACAGACAGAGTGAATTGCTTAAGTTATAATAATAGGGTAGATGAGTAATTTTTATTTTAACCCTTTGAGTACCTACCGTTACCGTCATTATAGACAAAATTAAATAACAATAGGTGTGCGGACACCGGTGGCCTCGCGGTGTTTGACAGTTTAATGTCCGTCTGATAGATTATTTTAATACATTACACATGTATTTTTTATTTTTTTTACAGAAACGAATACTTTTGACGACATATTGATTTGAAATGTCGAGTGACGTCACTTCTATGTACATTTTGTACGTAGAAATGACGTTTTAGTCCCTACTCCTAAACATTGATTCGTTATATCTAAGTATCATTTTGTTATACAACAAAATAAAAAATACGTGTCTAATATTTTTTCATTACCTAACTGACGGACTAATTAGATTTTTAATTTTCATACCCTTTCATTATCCCTATTACTATTATCTAAAGTCGTTCAGTAGATTTTGTGTGAAAATGTAATAAACATTAATACATTCACACACCTTCGACAACAGCTTATAAGTGGCCACTGTTGACCAAAGATTTCTTCTCACACAGAGAACTCAAACCTTCGTTTATCGCCACGCTTGCTCAAAGTCAATGCGTGTTGGCAATTTCAAACTTATAATTAGACCATTATAAGGCCAGGTTTCCTCACGATGTTTTCCTTCACCGTTTATCAGTTGTGTCTAAATAATCTTAGAAAGTAGCCGTTGTTGGTTTCGTACTCTCATACACTTCCGCATATTTAACTAGCTGTTGCCCGCGACTGCGACTTCGTTCGCGTGGAATTGTGATTCACAACTCCTCCCCGCCGATGATAGCGTGATAATATGTAGCCTATATGTTGACCCGACCTGTTAGTAATATTCATGCAAAATTTGAAGTAAATCCATGCAGTACTTTTGGAGATCACCCCGGACATACATAGGTATAGACAAACAGACAAAAATTCTAAAAACCATATTTTGGCTTTGGTATCGATTGTAGATCACACCTCAAATATGCTTTTTTAAAAATATTCAATGTACAGTAATGACTTTTCTACGATTTTATTATATGTATAGAAAATAGAAATATAGAAAAGATATATAGATATTATAGTAGGATAATGGGAAACAAGAAAGCAGAATAAAATAGTGAGATTAATGGACTGCCTCGTTGGCCGAGTGGTCGTAAGTGCGACTGCCGGGCAAGGTGTCTCGGGTCCGGTAAATATTACTGGGTTTTTAAATACTCTCAGTAGTAGCACGGAGTCTGAAATTGTGCCCGGTATATGGCAATAGGCTCACCCCCTATTACATGGGACTCATAACATAAATAGTGAAAAGTGGGCGTTATATTTTAGAGGTACAGTGGTATCATATCAGCACCTCTGCCTACCCCTTCGGGGATAATAGGCGTGATGTTATGATGATGATGATGATAATTAATGGTAAATAACAGTTAATATATTAAGTTTATATTTAATTGTTTTATTACTTAATCAAAATAAATATTGTACAGATAATAAGTGCTACTACATTCGTATTTAGGCATAATATTGTGTAGTAACTTTGCTTTAAGGTCTTTGAACTGACTATCTTGGAAAAAAATCTAAGTAGTTACCTATTAATTTTGTTACACTTAATCACTCGATATATTTGTTCATACAAAAGCAGTATCTAAACATAGGAAATAAGGTCTATAATGGAGCAGAGCGGTCATCGGTGACTGCTTGGGGATTGGTCGGTGAAGGCAAGTTAAGTCTTTCTGAATGATTTATTTTAATTAACGAATGTATTGATAAGAAATGTTAGTAAACAATATAAAATATAATAAGCGTCATAATAAAGTACATCTTGGTTTTAAAAAAAGTTCTTGGTTGTAGCACGAAGTCTGGAATTGGTATATGGCAATATGTTATAATAATAATAATAATAATTTATTTATTTGCGAAAAACACGGTATACAAAGTTGTTAAAATAAATGTAAAGTCCAGCATGTTTTGCTTACAATTAAAGCATGCAAACTTGTAAGTGTCTAGTCAAACACTATAAAATCTTACAAATAGGAAAAACTAAGGTCTGTGTTCCAAAAATTGCTTAATACTATAGAAATTATATTGCGTCAACAAATTATACAATTCAATCTTAAACAGTCTACAATTCGCAGTTTTCAAGATATTTGGTAGTTTATTGAATACACAAATACACATAGCTGGACAGCTCTTATTGTATTTCACTATCCTAGGAATCTCTTCCAGTACAAGTCTGTGCTGTTGCTGATCACGCCGACTGCGTGAGCTTACTTCTTCTACTGTTTTAAATAGCTCTATATGTTTTCGTACAAACATAGACACTTCATACAGATACAATGATGGCAATGGTAGCAGACCAAGTTTTTTAAAGATGGGTTGACATGACTCATCCGATGGGATCCCCTGAATAGCTCGTATACACTTTTTTTGGGCAACAAACGCTCTACCTTGGTCGGTACTATTTCCCCAAAAAATCAGACCATACCGTAAAGAGGACTCAACATATGCCTGATAAGACATCACAGCCGTTTTTATGCTAGTGACCCTCTTAATTTGCCTAAGGGCGTACGCGAATTTATTAATTTTATTGCACACATGGTCGACCTGAGCTTTCCAATCTAAATGTTGGTCTACAATTATTCCTAAGAACTTAGTTTGTGTCACTTGGGTAAGTTTGGATACGTTCATTTTAAAATTAAATTTCGGATTATAAGATTGATTGAATTGTATATATACAGATTTATTGAGATTAATAGTTAAATTATTATTATTTAAATAGCTAATTAAATTGTCAATTGTTATATTTATTTTGTTCACTCCCTATTACATGGGACTCATAACATAAATAGTGAAATGTGGGTGTTACATTGTACAGTGGCATTAAGTGCCATAATGCACCTCTGTCTACCCCTTTGGGGATAAAAGGCGTGATGTTATGTAGTACGGTGTAGGATATAATGCAAATTGGTTCGTCCGTTAGCGGTTGGTAATTAGTAGTAGCATTACGCATTTTGTCCCATAAGGTCCATGAGGACAGTAGACAGAGAATTCTAGAATATAAAATTAAACAAACGTAATTTTATGTGTAAATTCGTGGTTCAGTGATTATACCTACTGATAAGTTTAAAACCTAAAATTCATAACTCACCTTTGCCCGACCACACGATAAACTATTAGATAGGTAATTGGGTATTTGCCAACTAGTCAAATTCAATACTTTTTTCTTCGAACTGTCAAAAACGACAGTTTTGCTGTGAATTTTGTACAAGATTGTGTATTGTGACGTCACGTTTTTTTAGCGTCAAACATCACACTTATTTTTGGAAAATCTGCTGGAAAAATACTAAAATTAAGTTGGTCATAAAATCAATTAACGAAATTGCAATTATTTTTTTAATATTTTATTGTATTGACCAGAACGAAAACAAAATAATTTATTTTTGATGAAGACAAGTACTTACCCAATTATAAAAAACTGAATAGTTAAGTCAACAATTGTGTGTACTAGTTTTATCAGTTAAAGTCGATCCAGCCAGTTCAGTAAGGTCATCTACCCCGCTCCCGTACGCCATGTTTTTTTTCTGACGTTGGTCAAGAATTTATTTTGTTAAGTTGGTAGGGCATAGCTTTATAGTTTGTTTTTCTTTTTTTTTGTTTGTAGTGGTTGGTTCTAACAATAAATTTCTGGTTTTAGTTTTTATGTGTTTGTGACTGTTTAGATGTTTTGTATGACATTTTTGTTTTACGAATTTAGGGTAGTTGATAAAAATATTTTGGATTAGAAAGGGATTAAATTGTTTTGTATCTAATTCTGATCGGGTTTTTGAGCTGTTGCATATTTATTTTATTAAATATTATAATACATTAGATCAAGTAGGTACTACTTGAAAACGTAGGTACTTACGTACTTGACGAAAAATATTTCGGAATATTTTATTGTATTTCATTACATTTTTATGCTGTTTTGAATATGTGTACCCCTTATTTTTTGTCAATAAATTAGCTGTTGTGGTTATAGACTCGATATTTGGCGATATCAATCAAAGCCTCTTTAGCTCAGTGGTAGAGCACTGGTCTCGTAAACCAGGGGTCGTGAGTTCAAACCTCACAGGAGGCAATCACATGTAATTTTTACTTCTTCTTTTTACATTTTTGTGTCTATTTTTTAAGTTTTTGTTTAATTTTTCTAATTGTTTGTCTATTTAGTTAAAACAGTTATTTAGATTAAACTACAGTATCTAGATTAAAATTGATCTGTATTTAAAAGTTACTTTCCATTCATTCTTTTATTAATAATAATTTGAATAAACAATCAACACAAAGGGTATGAAATATGTTTAACGACAAAAGTTAAAGAAAAGAAAAACATTAAAGATGTAAAAAATAATTAAAAAGTTTCAGTCGAACGCAACCCTAACCTTTTCTTTTGTTTTGTTACAGAACCTGGCCGTTTGCGTCCACATAAATTCAAATTCGGAATGACATAAAACACCGCGGTTCCATATTCGAAAATATTAGAGCAGTTCCAAATATTTTTTTAATAGTTCATTCAGCCTTTGTGGTAAAAAGTTTTTAGTCGATTGGAAAAAGTTTGTAAAATTGTTGAAAATGCTTCGTTACTGGCTGTGTTTTGCAAGTGCAGTGTGTTTGGCGGGGTATTGTGGGGCGAATTATTGTAGGGACGCTAACCTGTGCTGTCCGGGGCGAGATAGTTCGTGTGTGATACAGAAGGCCCACCAAAATGCCATAATTGAGGACTTGACTGACAAACCCTGTTACTGCGACCATGCTTGCTTGAAACTCGGGGATTGCTGTCCTGATTTCCGAGAGACTTGTGGAGGTAAGTTCCTTTAAAAATGTAATATCAATACTAGGTATTTTATGAGATGTTATTAAGGATTGTATAGATAGAACCAGAACAGAATGGACCATAGTGTGCATGATGTGTGATCGAAGTGGTCGCAAGTGCGACTGCCGGGCAAGGGGTCTCGGGTTCGATTCCCGGGTCGGGCAAAAGTATTACTGGGTTTTTCAAAAATTCCCAGTAGTAGCACGGAGTCTGGAATTGTGCCCGGTATATGGCAATAGGCTCACCCCCTATTACATGGGACTCATAACATAAATAGTGAAAAGTGGGTGTTACATTGTACAGTGGCATAATGTACACCTCTGCCTACCCCTTCGGGGATAAAAAGCGTGATGTTATGTTATGTAACAAGATGATAAAACCTAAAATACATTTCTTGGAAAATTAAATAAAACCGAAACAATGAATCACATTTTTAATAAGCACCTAAACATTATTATTGAAACAAGATTATTCATTACACGATAACAATAGATAGATACTAATTAATAAGATTAAGATTTGTATCACGTATTAAGTATTTTTAATCTTTTTATGACTATGTCTGTAATCCGATCGATTGCACTAATGATTTCATAATATTTAATGAGTAGGTACATAATCGCCGAGCCTTTTCTAATTAAGTACTCATACTTCTTGGGCTTTTTATACAATGCACAAGCCATGTGATTAAGAATAGAATAGACTTAGACTATGGGAGAGATGCACCGGCACGAATGGGCCGGCTCGACCGGAGTGATACCACGACCTCACAGACAACAGACGTGAAGCAACGCTTGCTTTGTGTTTCGTCGTGTGAATGAGGTTACCGATGGCCGAAATACTCACATCCCCTCACCAATGTCCTCCATCCCTGAATCGTCAAATTCCTTATCCCAAAAGGCCGGTAACGCACTTATAACGCCTCTGGTGTTTCAGATGTCTATGGGCGACGCCTAATGCTTACCATCAGGTGATCCGTTTGCTAGTTTACCGGCTTATTCCATAAAAAATGTCTTGTCATCACCTGTACTCATCACGTCGGTGTCGTAAAAGCCGACTAATAGACTATACAATACATTTAACAGAGACCAGACTTCAACGCTTTCTGATACCTACAATTTGATTTTTTTTAAATTACGATCTCCGACTCTAACCTTGAGATTATGGTAAATCCCTCGTATCAAGAGGAGATTTATAATCTAGCTGTGGATTGTAATATGGTAAGTGTCAAGTACGAATAACTATTGCATGTGTAACGTAATAGTATCGAGCGCGATCGGCGTTCTGATTGGCCCGCTCTAGTGAAGTGTACGCATGCAATAGTTATTCGCGTTTGGCATTCAGTGCATTCTGCGTTTCGTCGTAACTCAATCTGGAAATTTTAATACGGTAGTTGACAGGTAGTCAAATTCAATACTTTTATTGAAATGTCAACAACGATACTTTTCTATGAATTTTGGATCGCGACTTGACGTCATACGTCATCATATTTCTGCGTCAAATAGCATACCTACTTATTTTCTTAAAATTGGCAAGAAAAAATCTAAAAGTAGGTAAATTGACAAATCAATGGATTAGAGTAATTATTTATTGCATTGAAACACTGATATGATAAGAGTACATTGAAAGTTGAAACGATTTATTTTAAACCTAGGAGAGGAAACTAGCCAATTAGAATAGTTTGTTACTTAATAATTAACAGAATATACAAATTATAATGTTATACAAGCTATGTAGGAACATAAATGGATTAAAACCAATTTAGTTAGTTGACGTTGAAGTTTACTAATAAGTAATATAATTATAGCTCGTTTAGCTAATTACTTTCGTGTATAAATTTTAGTTTTGAACGTATGACAGAACATGTTATGGGTTACTAGCTGAACATGCTACTTCGTCTGCGTTTTTAAGCGGTTATTTTAATATTACAAAGAGACACTCCAATTCTATTTATACATAACATCATAACATCTCGCCTTTTATTTCCAAAAGTATAGGCCTAGGTGCCACTGTACAATGTAACGCCCACTTTTCACTATTTATGTTATGAGTCCCATGTAATAGCGGTGAACCTATTGCCATATACCCGGCACAATTCCAGATTCCGTGCTACTACTGAGATTTTTTTTATAAGACTCAGTAGTACTTTGACCAGCGAATTAAACCCAACACCCCTTGCCCGGCAGTCGCACTTGGCCAACGAGGAAAAATTTCTATTTATCTGAATAGATAAACCTTTAACTCGTCGAGTACCGGTTTTGCAGACACAATTATAGAACAATAGGTTGCGGTCACCGGTGACCGCTTGGTGTTTGACAGTTTAATATGTATGATTTTTCTTTATATGTTCTGTGATTTGTGTAATAATATGATACTGACTAAAAAGTATGCATTGTGCTGATAGCAGTAATTAAAACCTCTGACAGTCTTTACAGTTACCTATAGTTAAACAAACTGATCACGAGTCTAACTAAGAATACTCGACTGCACGGTTGGTGCGGTGGCTGGGCAACCGGCTGCCATGCAACGTGTCGCGGGTTCGGTTCCCGCACAGAACAACACTTTGTGCGATCCACAAATTGTTGTTTCGGGTCTAGGTGTCATGTGTATGTGAACTTGTATGTTTGTAAACGCACCCACGACACAGGAGATAATCCTAGTGTGGGGCAACGTTTTTTTTTTAAATATATATAGTATGTTCGTCAAGAAAGGCAGACCATACTCGCTACGTATAAAGACAAATATACAAAATCTAGTTAAGGGTAATCCAGATTTGGCAGACCCCAATCAACAATAACAGAAACAATCTTTAGGACTAATAGCAGTAGTATTATGCACAGCTCAATTACTTAACAAAATGTGATGTTTTCTAACATAAAACCATGAAATAATTCATACTACAATATTTTCTAACATAAAACCATGAAATAATTCATACTATAATGTTTTCTAACATAAAACCATGAAATAATTCATACTATAATGTTTTCTAACATAAAACCAATTCATACTAACACGACAAAGATAAACCAATTTACTTTAAAACCGAAAACCCACAGAGATGTGGACAGCAATGGAATTAATAATGGAAATGAAAAAGGTGAATTGAAACTCTGAACACGGCCGTCTAAATGCAGCAGTGGAGGCAAATTAAATAAATACATACAACAGCAAACAGTACTGAAATGTAGGAACCTTTTCCATAACAGTATATTTAATTCAGACCACAGCTACCACGAATTTGTCGAAATGGTACGTTAAAACAAGCAAACAGAGGGCATAGAATGAATTTGTTTTATGTATGTCGACATCGAAACGTTACTGACCTCTGATTGGTTGGTTCATTGGTGCCAGGCCAATCAGAGCGCCGAAAGTTGCTTTTGTCAAATGTAAAACAAACTAGTACCAGAATCTATTTTTTTGAATTTTGATAATCATTCAACGACTTCTTCGACATTGGGTGAGAGTAGAGAGTGACAGACATATTAACATAACATCACTCCTTTTATCCCCGAAGGGGTAGGTAGAGGTGTACATTACGGCACTTATTGCCACTGTACAATGTAACACCCACTTCACTATTTATGTTATGAGTCCCATGTCATAGAAGGTCATGAGCCTATTGCTATATATCGGGCACATTTCCAGACTCCGTGCTACTACTGAGGTTTTTACAAACCCAGTAATACTTTGCCCGACTGGGGATCGAACACGAGACCCCTTGCCCAGCAGTCGCACTTGCGACCACTTGGCCAATGAGGCTTTTACTATTGTAAGAGTGACAGACTTTCACTGATTATAAACCACCCTGTTTCTACACCTGCTTTGAGCTGGAGACGGAGCCCCGGTAACCAAATAGGTTGTACGTAACTCCGGTTATATTAGGCCTCCAGGTACGTTTCCACAATCGGTGCGCAAAAATACGTTTTAAGCCCCCGCGAGCCTTTTAAATCCTCCTTTTAATCCCCTCCATCCTCCTATTCGGTTCCAATTAACTGAAATACCACGAATGATTAATTTTTAATCTCCAGGTTATACGCAGGGATCGAAAAATAAAAAAAATCTGTTGGGAAAGAAAATTGAATTATTCATTCTTTTGGATTATGATGTTGCATTTTGTAAACGAATTTTCTTTAAAAATGTTTTGGCGTTTCCTGCGTTAATTAATAATGATAAAGCATTTTTTTTAAAAGGAATATATTATAAATCTTGCATATTCATTGTTAAATGTTGCTATAAGTGTTGTTCATGCTAAAAGGCTTGCAAGAGATGCTGGCAAAATGTATATCTTGTTTGTTTTGCTAATCAAATGATTGAAACGTAAAAAAAAAGAAAATTCTCAGCAATAGCATGGAGTTTTCATCAGTGTATCATATTATAATACCTGATGAAAAGTGACTGTAACGTTGTTTATGGTATGTGTAATCGTACCTACATATTCAAATAATTGGGTAGTTTATGTCGGAATACTGAAACGCTATTCAATTTTAAGTCGCGCTTAAGTATAGTTCTGTCTCCACTCATTCTTTGTAAAATGACAGAGATGGAACGATATTTAAGCACAACTTAAAATTGAGTAACGTTCCAGTATTCCGGCATTAGTTACATAATGAAAAAATATTAGACACGTATTTTTTTATTTTCTCATATAAAATTGCAATACTTATATAAAATGACGCTAAATTTAGGAGTGGGAGGTCGTTACGTCATAACGTGCTACAAAATGTGGCACGCTATGACGTCACACGATATGTCAAATTAATATATCGTCGAAAGTATTAAATTTTGTGAGATAAGAAAAAATACGTGTCTAAAGTTTTAAATTATTGTACCAGACGGACATTTAAAATAAAATTTAGGAAACTACCCAATTGTATTGATTCGATCGTACTAATTTATCAATGTATGTAATTTGCTTTTTATTCTCTTGACCATTGAAGACTACCCAATATTTATTATAAGTAGATACCAAAAACACAGCAAAATAGATC